CATACACACTGAGAGCAACACATTTGAAAGATCTTTATGAAACCATTACTATGAAGACACTAGCCAAAGATGAGAGACTTGATATCCTGTTAACATTGAAAGCCACTGTTAGGGTAAGGAGGGAGAAGGGAGAGTATGTGTAACTATAAGAACTTCTCCAGGAGCATAACTGTAAGCTAACAAGAGAGATAGTTGAACTGGTTGATAGAGAAGCTGATTTGTTAGTGAGGGACACCAAACCATCAGCTCTTATGGGTATGTCAAGTATTGGTTCATGTGACCATTTGGTGCATTAGGTTTGAAGAAGAGGATTGCTACATTGTTCCTTCAATATTGTAAGACACCACTCTTTAATCCTGAAGCTGCCAAACACATCAAAGTACTATACACTATTCATTATGTACCATTATCTTTACTCTTCTCTCATCAGGTTCCACAGGATCCTTCTGTATTAAGGACTAATGTTTATTATTGTAGAAGTTGCTGTCAATATTTACCATCAACTGATTTTGAATTATCAACAAAGTCATGGTAAATTGGCCATTGTCTACACTTCTTCTTTACTCCTTTCTTTCATTTTCCATCCTTCCACCTTTCCTCTCTCTTTACTTCCCCATACAGTGTCATTGGTCATTGTAGACAGTGTAAGGAGTTGGATAATAAAGCTCGTGCTAGAGAGGACTATACATTATATTGTGCTATGCTTAAGACAATACGTAAAACAGAGGAAAACTATCAAGATGACTCCCACATTATCTTTATTATACAAGTAATGGATTGTAGGCATAGTAATGAGGGGTACAAGGATAATGCATAGCACATTACTTAAATAGATTATTTTTAGTAAAACCTACATAAATATTGTTTATCTAACTTTTTTTTTCAGCTAGCATATCTTTGTAGGAGCAATTTTGCAATTTGCATGCTTTGTACATGTACATCTTGTACATCTTAAAAGCACATTTAATGTACTTATAATTAAACAAGGCATATTAGGCCAGTGGAGTTTTGTAAACAAGGCCTAGTGTACTAATGATTTATAGATATTTTACCATATAGCGGGTATATTCCGTTCGAGTTTAATTCGTTCTTTTTGTTCTCATTCCTTGTGGAATGAACATTTTCCAAACGAAAAGGGCATTTTCTCAATGCCCGTGTGCAAAATGGCTGCTCAGAACAAAAATAAAATGAACGAAATATCTAATTCTACTTAGAATAAACATTTTTCCAGATGAAATATACCCACTATACAGTATTCATTTATATGTATTATTATTTTTTTACAGGCTTAAAGTTCACAGTTTACAGATAAGATAAGACAAAGGCACATACATGTATCAGTAAGAAATTATTTCACACAGATACCAGGAACGATGGAGGAAATGTCAACTAAAATTAAAGAACTAGCTCTACCTCGTCCTAAAGAAAGAATCATTGTAGTTAGGCAACACCCACAGGAACAACAACAGCAATTAACATTCATGCTTTATAGCAAATTACATGTATATAGTAGAGGAGTGCCTTTATAAATGATGTGTGTGATTAACTATCATTAGTTGTGGGAATGAAGCATAAAATGTACTCTGTACTAGTGGTTGCTGTCTTCTTGTTGAGTGTCAGTGAAGTTATTAGTCAATGTCCACCTTCCTCAGGTAAGACACTGGATGTTTATAATAACAACTGTATAGGTTTTTATAGGTATATACCTGAGGCATAATGGAACCTGTTATCCCAATGAATCATATTTTTATGATGCTAATATTACAGGAGCCAGTAACAGTATTATGTGTGTGTTACCTGGTTCTACTCTGAATGGTGGAGAGTGGGCTACTTCTAGTGGATCATCAGTTGAATGCAGTACTAATCCTCTTAAATGTAATAAAGTATCTTCACCTAATGCTAACATCAGTCTGTACATACCTAATGGACAAGGCATATCACCATCTGATGATGGCTGGTACAAGTGTTGTCTACCCACTGATTGTTCAGATCCTAACACTAACATCATCTTTGCTAATATATTCAGTAAGTGTTCTCATTAAACTAGTGCACACTGTCACTTTGTTGCTGATTTACTGTAGGATGGGTACAGATTGAAACCATCACAGTAGACCTTCCTTCAGATAAAACAACTATACCTCAGTCATATACACTACATGCCATTAAAATTGGTCATGATGATCACAGTTCTTTTTTACATTCTGTCAAGTGGTACTATGAGTCTGGTAGCAGTAGTGCTGAACTCTGCACTGGATCTATGACCTCATACAGTTGTAACTTCATGTATGGTAATGGAATGTCAATGGATTATGGTAGTGGAAGGTGGGACTATACTCTAACTGTTACTTGGAATGGAGAGACTATTACTAGTGGAGTACTGAGTCAATCAAACAACAATGGGGATCATGTATTTAGATTCCATTTACATTTTGGCCATTATGCTCATAACCCAGTAGCAAGAAATAGAGACATTTTTGTAACAGGTAAGTGGCAACAAAATGACTTTATTATTCTTTATAGTACCAGCAACTGCTCCCTCTTCTTTTACTGAGGTCAACAAGACAGCTACCACTATCACTGTCAATTGGACTGCACTTGAGTCATCTGATGCTGTTGGATATGTAGTCAAAGTCACTAGTGACACAGACACTGTGCAGACAGTACAGGTGGAGGGAAGTAGTAATAATACAATCATACTGAATGGACTGAGGGAACTAACAACATATAACATCACAGTCAGAGCCTATCAACAATTACTGGGACCTGCTAGTGCAATCAGTGTCTTCACTCACATTTGTCATCAAGAAGGTCTTTAACTTTAATATAAATATAATGTATAAACATTGATTTATAGGTATCTATTTAGCATATAATCGAAACTGTTATCCTAATGGATCATATTTTTGGGATAGTACTGTCAATGCAGCTAATGAAGCTATATCATGTGTGTTACCTGGTACTAGTCTAACTACTGGTCAGTGGGTTAGAGTTGCTGATCCTGATGATCCTGTTGACTGTAACAGTAATAGTGACAGTGATCCTTTTCAATGTACTAATGTCACTTCACCTGCTGCTACTCTCAATCTTTATCTTGCTCAGGGACTATCAACAGAAGAAGAAGGTTGGTACAAGTGTTGTCTACCCACTGATTGTTCAGATCCTAACACTAACATCATCTTTGCTAATATATTCAGTAAGAGGAGACTATAATCACTTACTGATGTAATAATTTTTGTTGTAGGATTTGCAGAGATAGAATCATTTACTGTTACTGATCTTCCTTCTGATATGACAGTATATCCTCAGGAATACAAACTGAATTGTACTAAAATTGGACACTATGGTTATGCTATTAGTATGAACATTGATAGTACTGCACTGGCTAGTTATACTAATTGTGATGATCGAAGTAGTACTTGTCCTGGTACTGTGTTAGTTAGTAGTAGCAACACAGTAAGATATAGTGTTGATATCACATGGGATGGAATGACTGTCAGTAGTGGATCAATCAATCAATACACCACTGGAGATCAAACATATCAGTGTGTAATGGAAGTTAATAATCAACCTACTAGAATACGTAATGTAACTATAAAAGGTAACATATTAGGTTTGACTTTAAAAACTACATCTTTCTATTAGTACCAGCAACTGCTCCCTTTTCTCTTACTGAGGTCAGCAAGACAGCTACCACTATCACTGTCAGTTGGACTGCACTTGATTCATCTGATGCTGATGGATATGTAGTCAGTGTCACTAGTGACACAGACACTGCGCAGACAGTACAGGTGGAGGGAATTAGTAATAATGCAATCACACTGAATGGACTAAATATAGAAACAACTTATAGCATCACAGTCAGAGCCTATCAACAATTACTGGGACCTGCTAGTGCAATCAGTGTACATACTTCAGGTATTGCTATTGCACCTTTTAATGTATTTGTAACATTGTTGATGTATTTCTAGTTATTAATTCAATCAATTGGACACTAGTTTCATCCATTACACAACTCAATAACACTCAATATTGTATTGATTGTTTCACAACTGATATAAATCCTTCAACTGATGTTTACTGGCTAGTGAATGGAGTTATGAAGAGTAACTCAAACTATTCATCAATTGAGCTCCTGACAAACATGTACAACAACACACTACTGGTATATCCTGATCCACTGGGAGTGCCAGTTAATGTTACCTGTATAGCAATGTTTGAAGGAGTCAACTACAGTCAATCTGTGATATTACATGGTATGATTATACTTTAATCAATAGTAGATACCTTTGTCTCTTTTCTAGCTCCTAGTGGTCCTCCAAATAATGTGAGAGGGTTTATATTAAATGCTATTAGCATCAAAGTGAATTGGACCAATTCATCAGAGACTAATGGATATGTGATTGAGTATACTACTGGAG